CGCTTGCCTCAGTGCTAATAGGGCAGCCGATGACTTGCCACCTCGGTGGTAGAATAGTGGCGGCGGCGGCTCCTACCCGAACGCCTGGCGGAAGAGCTCCGTCTTGCAGGCCCTGCGGAACTGCATAAGGTCCCGCAGGGCCCGGATCTCCTCCGGGAGCTCATTCCACCAGGTAGGAGCCGCCACCGAAAATGCCCTGGCCCTAGTAGAGGCAAACTTAATCTCTCGGGGTCCTGGCACTCCCAGGAGATGGAGCTTCCCCGATCGTAGTGCTCTTGAGGGAACATACGGGAAGAGACGGTCCTTCAGGTCCTTATTATCTTTAAGTACAATGGGTGCCCCACAAGGAGAAAAAAAAAATTGCCCCACAGAATGAAAAATCCTGGCTACGTCCCTGACTCTGAACATCAGCGGGGGTGAGGGGAGAAGACCGGGTTTTTTAGAAAAGCCATAGGCCGTGGTAACGCCGATGCTGCGGTATGAAGACAGGAAGACTAGTTTGTGCCTTAGATGAAAATGCAGAGTCTGACCCTATTCCGCTCTTCTCGTTGTTCCAAAGGACAGCGTCGCCGCTCGCTTGCTGGGAATCTTGTCCTCGGACTCCGAGGGCTTCCCCCGCAGAGCTGTGGTCGGCGTCTTCATCGACTGGCTCCGGGAAGGGCACCCGGCCGCCCGGCAGGACCCCGAACAGTTTGTTTCCCAAGTGATCCAAGCTGTCAAGGGGGACTTGGACTGGGAAGTGAAGGTCAGCGGCTTGGAACTGGCGGGCGCTTTCGCCGCCCAGTGCTTCCATCGCTTTGGCTTTCCCGAGTGCCCGTACGCCGCCGACGTCTCTTCCGCCGGCGAGCCTGCCCGTCTCCCGGAACTGCTGCAGGTCTTCTCCCGAGTGAGACTGTTCGACTTCCTCTTCGGAGCACTGGGTGACTGCGACAGGCCGGTGGCGCTGAAAGCCTGCGAGATCCTGACGGGCGTGAAAGGGAAGATCGGCACAGGCTGCGGCCTAAACGAAGGGCAGGGGTTGGAACGGCAAGGGAATGCGTCGCTGGAGGAGATCTGGAAGATGGTGGCGCCCTGTGCCTCTGGACCTCTGGGGGGAGATCGTTCCAGAACCATTCCCCAAGATCCGAAGCGCGCGCTGCTGATTTTAGAGGCGGTCGACCTGGAAGAGTTGGAGGGGGCTCTGGGTAGAAGCAGCGATCACCTGGAGAAAAGCCCCTGGTCTCTCTTGCAGGATATTCTCTCTGCAGGTGGGGCTCCGGAAGACAACGAAGCCGACTGCTACTGAAAAGGGGGGCTGCTGTCATCCGGAACTCCCCGAGTGTCCGTCCTGGGATCAGAATCAAAGTGCGGGGTGGGAGGGGGGCAAAAAACAGGCGAAGCCGCGTGATGTCCGAGAGAGGCCCGAAGCCAGTTATTAAGATGAGAAATAGATATTCTTCCAGAAGAGGTCTATAAGTGAGTTACTCCTTTCTAAATTGGCTGGAGTTGGTGGGTTTAAAAGGGCACCGAACAAGTTGGCAGGATCCAATTCAGTGATAGGTCAAAGGGCAGGATTTTCCGGGAAATACTCCAGATGAATCAGGGAGGTGTCACTCTTGAAACCCGTTGCCTGATTTTTATTCAGGAAATCCTTGGAAAAGCCAGTCTCCAAGCCCTTGAAAGGGGTGCAGATTACCCTACACAGGAGTACGTGTGTGTTTTTGGCTGGCTATAACCCCAGTTCCACACGTACGGGGAAGACGTGTGCAATTTCCACTTGCTAGCGCATTGAGTGACAATTGGCACACGGCCTGCCTAAAACCCCTCCTGGAGTTTTGCTACCTAAAAATGGCCCCTCGGTTTTGGGAATAGCTTTGCAAATGCATCATGGACAGAATTGGTCAGGTGGTGTTTAGGCCGGTCGGCTACGATCCTCGGACAGGAAGCCGACTTGGTGACGGAGGGACCAGGGTTTTCCATACTGGGAGTTTCTTTTGTTACTAATAAAACCTCATTTCAATGCAGTTTGGTTTTACTCACTCTGGGTTCACATGGCCCAAAACGCGTCTTCCTGGGCCAGGAAAGCAGACCTTTCAAGGGAATTTGCCTCCTTTTGCAATACTTTATATTTGAAAGTACTTTAAATTAATTATTTTTTAAAATATATTATTTTATTATCATTTAAATAATACTTAAAATATTTAGAAGGTTTTATTTATTATTATTATTATAGCGATTTTAGTTGTGCCACGATGCAATGGTCATTATGATTCTTTTGTCTTGTGTACCAAGATGTACACAGAGGCAGGCCATGTCCAACCACCTCTGAAGTCTCTTGACTTGAAAGTCCCCCCGGGGTCGAACGGCACTTTCCACCCCATCACAAGGCATTCTTAAGTAAGAGGAAGAACGACGCTTGAACGATATCAACCTTGTAAGGAAAATGCAATCGGTCCTTACCAACTCCAGTCACTAAGCAACTGTGTCCTGTATTATGCAGCTTTGCTTTTTGGACTGCAGTTCAGAAACCCGGACTGGTGCTTCAGGAAGCAAGAATATGATGACCGCTAACCGACTTTGACTTCAGTCTGAATCCTATGTCTGCATCCATAATTCATACTACCTGGCTTACTTCCCCAGATCTCATCTCTGGCTGCCTCGGAACCGAGTGTTCAACGGGAAGCTTCCAAAAAATGACGAATGGAAAAGACGATAGTGCCAAGGCCTGTAAAATCATGAACGGCGCAGAGAGAGTGCGAGGCAAGAGTAATCTTGGTGTCCCCCCCCCTCTCTCTGCTCATCGATGGAAGTGGAGTCTTGACAACTTGAAAAGACTTCTTTACCCAGCAGATTAATTAAACCAATTCAATCTTTGACAGTCAATCAGAAGCCTTGCTGGGCAAAACCTTACCTGGCCCCACCCACTTCCCCAAAACACTTCGAAAGTGCCAGAAAACATGTCAGTGGGTGCCCACGGGCACCATGTTGGAGATTCCTGCTGACATATTTTTGTCTTCGCTCAGGAAGGAGGGCTCCAGAGCAAACTGATTTATGCAGTAGCCAAATGACTCGCTCACAACATGAATGCCAGCAGCTCACAAAGAAGAATTTTTTGCTCACGAGACTCCACAGCTTAGAGGGAGCATTGCTCAGGCCACAAGTAATTTGCAGCTGGTGTCAATTTTGCAGCCCCCCACAGCCTTTCTGGAGACCACCGTCTACATTCACTATATACATTACTTATTTTCTGTTATTGTATACTATGATTTATGAATATATTACCAAGCGCTAAATTGTCACAGGGTTCCCCCCCCCCCTTTTCATTGGTCTTATTACTGTGCCCATTCTTAAAACTATTAAGAGCTATGACCAGGACAGGTCGTTGGATCCTCCACATTCAGGGGCAGTCCATCTCCGATTCACCAAGTGCTGGAGACAAACAGAAGAGGGTGCATCCAGAGACGTCATCTAGTACAACATTGGGCTGTATTTTTTATACTTCCTATAACCACGGATCCTTTGCATCTGGCTGTCTGTCTGGCCAGAGTCAGGTTCCAGGTAGTTTGTTGCCCTGAGCCAGGCATACTCTGTACCTGTGCCACTAACGGCCAGGTAGAAGTCAAGCCTCAGCTGGTGGGGTGCATAGAGCTGGCTGCAGGGGTCCGCAACCTTTTTGAGTATTCTGTGGGCGTAGCCACAAAACGGCGGCCGCCGGAAGCAAAGCCAGCCACAAAACGGCGGCCGCCGGAAGCAAAAGCAGCCACAAAAAGGCATGGCTGCCGCCGGAAGCAAAGCCAGCCACAAAATGGCTGCCGCCGGAAGCAAAGCCAGCCACAAAATGGCTGCCGCCGGAAGCAAAGCCAGCCACAAAATGGCTGCCGCCGGAAGCAAAGCCAGCCACAAAATGGCTGCCGCCGGAAGCAAAGCCAGCCACAAAATGGCTGCCGCCGGAAGCAAAGCCAGCCACAAAATGGCTGCCGCCGGAAGCAAAGCCAGCCACAAAATGGCTGCCGCCGGAAGCAAAGCCAGCCACAAAATGGCTGCCGCCGGAAGCAAAGCCAGCCACAAAATGGCTGCCGCCGGAAGCAAAGCCAGCCACAAAATGGCGGCTGCCGGAAGCAAAGCCAGCCACAAAATGGCTGCCATGGCCTACATCCAGCCACACCGTGAAGATCCCCTTGTGCTGTGGTGGCAGAGCTGTTTCCAAAGTGACACTTCAAAAAAAAAAAAAACCCTGCAACGCCCATCCCACCCACTGTCTAAAAACGTGTGCCAGGAAAGGTATCAGCAGGTGCTGTGGTGCCCGTGACCACCAGGTTGGGGATCCCTGGCATACTTTATTTCATATTATTTTTTTTACATATTTATAGCCTGCCCTTCCCACAAGCGGGCTCAGGGTGGGTAACAACATAGTAGCGATAAATAAATGCAGTTAAAATATTTAAACACAATAGTAACATTAAAGTTGGTCGTCGCAGCAGATGGATAGGGCCATCTATTGTTGGATGGGAGAAAGAAACCTCAGGGGGGAGCAGACAGAAGAAGAAGAAATTGGATTTATACCCTGCCCTTCACTCAGAGTCTCAGGGCGGCTTACAATCTCCTTCCCTCCCCACAACAGACACCCTGTGAGGTCGGTGGGGCTGAGAGAGCTCTCCCGAGAACTGCCCTTAAGAGATCAGCTCTGAGAGAACTTGTGACTGACCCAAGGTCACACCAGCAGCTGCATGTGGAGGCGTGGGGAATCCAACCTCATCCTCCCAGATTAGAGGAAGAAGAAGAGGAGATTGGATTTATACACCGCCCTTCACTACCCAAAGGTGTCTCAGAGCGCCTTACAAACTCCTTTCCCTTCCCCTCCCCTCCACACAACAGACACCCTGTGAGGTCGTTGGGGCTGAGAGAGCTCTTGACAGAAACGGCTCTTTTTCAAGAACAGCTCTTATCAGAACTATGGCTTGCCCAAGGTCTTCCAGCCAGGTGTGAGTGGAGGAGTGGGGGAATCAAACCCGGTTCTCCCAGATTAGAGTCCGCCGCCCTTAACCACTACACCAAACTGGCTCAGATTAGAGTCCGCCCGCTGCTTCAGCCGAAGGCCTGGTGGAACAGCTCCGTTTTACAGGCCCTGCGGAATACTTTTATTTATGTTTGCCGTGGGCGGCTATTGAGGGGCGTCTGTCTCTGCTTCAGGGAGACCTGCGTGGATGTTCAACAGCGGCGACACACATCCCATTTTCTGGGACAGATCAGTTTTGCACGGGTGGCACATTCATTCATGCGCCCGCGCAACAGTTTTTAACGCCAACGCAAAGTAGGCGTAATCTCAGCCTCGGGCCCACTGTGCTCCGAGGGAGAGAGATGTCCCCTCCAAAAAAGAAATAACAGGAGGCCGAATTGCACACCAGGGCACTGTCTGCGTTACATAACAGCGCAGACTGAACCACTTTGACAGCTGCTGGGAGAAACAGGCAGGAGAGATCTGAGCTTTGCTTCTCCCACGCAAAAAACTCCCCCCCCTTTCCTGGTCAGCGAGGCAGAATAAGAAACAACAGCAGCAGAGATGCAGCAAAGGGAAACCTCCACCGATGTCAGCAGGCAGACGAGAATATCAGAAGCAGCAGAGTTCTCCACCCCGTGTAAGAGCCAGCCCCTAGCAGACTTTTGTCATGCGTACAGCTGTCCGCATGCTGAGATTTCACACAGGCGTTTCTTGAGACTCTCGGCTTTCACGGGGAAGGGAAAAGAGCCTCTCTGGTCGAATCTGCATTTGCATTTTTAAATCAGTTTCGGTGCTGCCGTGACGCCGTCTTTCTCTATGCTTGTTTGAACCTTGTTTGGAGAAGATTCGTTTAAAGCAGTGCGGAGGCGCAATGACAGTGGAGCCGCCACGAGAGGGCGATGACCGTATGCAGACATGCAAAAGTGTGCTAGCACTGTTGAGGTGTGAAAACGAAACCAAATGCAGACAGCTTTTTTGAAGACGGAGTCAGAAGGCTGGGACGCCGATCCGACTTCTAGCTAGGAAGCTGTGATTGAAATGGAGGGGGCGAAGGCGTCTGCTGGGTTCTCGAAAGCTGAAGGGGATGGTGTCTCGCATTCCCAGCTTGGAACAGACAAGGAGGCAGAGAATAGGGTTTCGGCAGCCTGCCGTGTTTTGCAACCCGATAGATACGCAGTCTACGTGCATGATGCAAAACTGCATGCCATACCAGGATCTGAACACATGAAGCTGGTCTCTACTCAGACTGGCAGTGGTTCTCCAGGGTCTCAGGCACAGAGGTCTTTCACATCACCTACTGCTTGGTGCTTTTTAACTGGAGATGCCGGGGATTGAACCGGGGACATTCTGCATGCCAAGCAGAAGCTCTAACACTGAGCCAGGGTCTCAGTTCTTTCCCATCACCTACTACCTGATCTTTTTACCTGGAGATGCGGGAAATTGAACCTGGGACCTTCTGCATGCCAAGCAGAGGTTTTTCCACTGAGCCACAGACCCTCTCTGATTTGAGAGACCTCATCCTGAGACCCTGGCCAGGTGTTAGAGCCTCTGCTTGGCATGCAGAAGGTCCCAGGTTCAATCCCCGGCATCTCCAGGTGAAAGGACCAGGCAGTAGGTCACACACGAAGCTGGCTTATACTGAATGAGACCCTTGGTCCACCAGAGTCAGTACTGCCTTCTCAGAAAGGCAGTGGCTCTCCAGGGACTCAGGCACAGAGGTCTTTCACATTACCAGCTGCCCGGTCCTTTTTAACTGGAGATGCCGGGGATTGAACCTGAGACCTTCTGCGTGCCAAGGAGAGGCTCTTCCACTGAGCCAGGGTCTCAAGCACAGAGGTCTTTCCCATCACCTACCACCTGGTCCTTTTTAACTGGAGATGCCGGGGATTGAACCTGAGACCTTCTGCGTGCCAAGGAGAGGCTCTTCCACTGAGCCAGGGTCTCAAGCACAGAGGTCTTTCCCATCACCTACCACCTGGTCCTTTTTAACTGGAGATGCCGGGGATTGAACCTGGG